CTAGACTCTAGAACAACCTCTATATTGACCCCGGGGTGAACATAGCGCTATAGTAAAGTGACCCCCCTATAGGATTTGACTCCTCTTACTTTTTTCTTTAGTAGTTACTTATCTGATCATTATTTCTCATGTCATTTACTTGTATTATATATTGCTACATATTCACGAACTTTTAAGGTATTTTAAGGAATGTTTTGATGGATAACGACTTGGTATTTTGTGTAAATGTAATGTATTGTTAAAATTACATATACAGAGAAATCATGTCACTTTTTAGATTGTATTTTACATTGTTATGGTTTTTAGTTTGCTTTGTTCAGATAATCCTTAATCATAATGTCAATTTATGCAATGGTTTGTAAGGATTACGACCTATATCATAATTGCAATTAAACTGATCTATTCATAGCATAAAGAAGCCCAAAATAAATCTTTTGTATGACTTAAAAAGACCATTTAACCCACGTTATTTTAAGTGAAGTTATTGATTACAGAAACTATTTAACAAATTTTCTCCTATCATCTGTTTAACTACTCAACTGATCAGTTCTGTCTATTTGAACAAGATTCCAAATCATTATACATCACTTTGATTAACTAACTCATTAATAACGACTTATCTCATTTTCAGTCAAATATGTGTTTCAACAACTAAGTCAATTTAACATTCAAAAGTTATAACAGACATCAAAAATACATCTGAGTTCTTCAAAAAACACTTTTAAATATGTCAATGTTGTAATTATAGTATTAATATTCAAAGTTTTTCGATAGAATTCAAAGTTCTTTATTAATAAAATATAGATTTTCATGGGGGGATCAACATACCATAACAGGATTCTGACCCCAGGCTCAAAATACTATATGTTATGTTGACAGTGTTGGGAAGGTTACTTTTAAAATGTATTCCCCTACAGATTACAGACTTCAAAATGTAGTTTGTAACGTAATCCATTAAATTACTTTGAGGTGAGGAATGTAATCTGAATACTTTGGATTACTTGATATTGTCATGCTTTTTAAAACTACATGAATTTACCAACCACGTCCTGAAAATTCTTGTTTGTTCTTTTTATATTGTCTGAGCCCAAGTCTCCATGAACAGACTTTTGTTTTACTGTAGAGAAGCAAAGACAAGAATCTTAACATAAAATGTTTTGTTTTATCTGCTTATCTTTAAGAAAATAAAAAGTTCAATCTTTCCTTAACCAGATACAAAATATTATTGATAGAGAAATGATTTTTATATGAGAAATGATACATTTATATGAGTATGTCCACCTACTGTTAGGTCTCATACTGTTTAGACCTGGTTTAGTCCTAGTTTAGTTCTGGTTTAGTCGTGGTCTAGTCCTGGTTTAGTCCTGGTTTAGACCTGGTTTTAGTCCTGGTTTAGCCCAAAATGTGAAAACAGGAACATACCGCCCTGTAATCCATTTATTTCAACAAAGTAACTGTAATCCAATTACCACTCACTGAAACAGTAACTGTAACTGAATACAATTACTCATAATTTGTACTCTGATTACGTAACTCCGGTACATGTAATCTGTTACTCCCCAACACTGTATGTTGACCCCGGGGGTACCTCACAGCGGGGTCAAAATCCTACACCACATGGAAACTAAACCAGGTACTAGACCAGGACTAAACCAGATACTAAACCAGATACTAGACCAGGACTAAACCAGATACTAGACCAGGTACTAGACCAGGACTAAACCAGATACTAGACCAGGACTAAACCAGGTACTAGACCAGGACTAGACCAGGACTAGATACATTAGTGCCGAGTACAGAACAGTTTTACTTAATTCCGCTTTATTTATTTCAGAGTTTCATTTTAAAACCAGCACAAACCAGAGACGTCCCAGTGTTTTATTTTGAAGCTCTTCTCACTCTAGTTTACTCTACTGTTTAACTCTAAATGTTGAGGTTAAATGGAACACTCCTGCACAGGTTAATGTTTAGCTCCAGGTTGGCCTGCTGTGTGCTCAGCCATTGTTCTGGTGAATCATGAAGGCAAATCTGTAACCATCATCCAAATTAATGTTTCACCAATCAGCTAATCTGCAGATGGTGCTTACATAACTCCAGCAGGAGCGTTATAGACTTTGGTACTAAAATAAATGACTGTGGAAGTGTCAGACTGCCCATTTCATTAAAACACTTCATATTCTCAGATTTAAAGCTCGAAGTCATGATAAGTCACGTTGATCCCTCCGAGTGTCCACACGCCCGTTTCCCCGGGAGTTTGGAGCCAGTGTCCTCTGTCCCAGCAGATTTATACAAAAACACTGATTTGTTCCACACAGCAAAAACTGGAGGGTTAAAATTTCAGGGTAAAATATTTCAGAGTTGTTTTTAACACAAAAAGTGTGATTTAAACTATTTGGAAGTTAAGTGGGGGTTGGAGTTAGGGTTATTTGCCAAAGTTGATATGGTTGAAGGTAATTCAACTTCTCTTAGTGTTAATTTGGCTCTTCCCACCCACCACTTCAAACTCCTGCAAGAGAAGACCAGTTTGAACCAGTTTTGTACATAATTTCATATTAAATTTACTAAAATAAAGTGTGAAAATAAAACACCTCTGTGTGTTGTTTAGCTAAATCCGGATAACCCAACAAAGTGTTATCTGTTCACTCTCAAAATGTCCATATAACTCTGGATTTCTGGGTTAAACAGGAACTTTGGTCCAGTGTTAATTCATTAACATTTCCAAAAATGTTAAATTAACTCTAGAACAGATTGGACTCATATAAACTCTGAGAAAATGTTCATATTGATTCTGTAAGAGTCCATTTTAACACTCCACTTTTTGCTGAGCAGTTTTATATAAGAAATGTCCCAGGTGAATCCATGTATCATTTGTTCATTTATTTTTCAAAATAAAATAAAAAATAACAAAAAAACAAAAACAAAAAAAGCAACTATTTTCTTCATGATAACGATTCATTTTTTCAGTTTTCAATTTTGTTTCAGTGAATAATGGAAAAAACAGATAACGACCGTTTTCCAGGACCAGGACTAAACCAGGACTAAACCAGGACTAAACCAGGACTAAACCAGGTTGTGGGGAAACTGGCCAAAGTGGTCAAAAGAAGGAGGCAGACAAAAAAATGTCCATTTTAACTAGAGCCCGACCGATATATCGGTTGGCCGATATTATCGGCTGATATGGGCACCTGGGGGCATATCAGCTATCGGCCGATATGCTTGCTGACAGGGGCCGATATTTCATGTGGGCATGTGATACATTGTTAAAAAGCTTAGACTCTCTACATTCTGTTCATTTAATCCAATTTACAGACAGATAAATGTCCTAATATGTGGCTCCGCATCAGTATTTATCTACGGAGTCATTTGTCTGTGTGTGTCCGTACTGTCCCTGAACACACCACAGAGTCGCGTCATTCACGTGTGTTTGTTTACACCCGCAGCGGTGCACAACACTGAGATTATATTCTTTTTAAAGACAATCGGTTTGAGTCTGGATTAAAAGGACATTTATTAGTGCAGATTTGTGATGTGAGGAGGAGCCTGTGTGAGCGGTGAGTGTTGGAAATATGTCGACTCTGAAGCTAGTTTTTGTCATTAGTTATTGGTTAGCTGCTGTAGCTCCCGCACATAAACAGGCTGTTTTCTATTAGTCATATTGTAAAGTGACTATATTGGCCGTATATTTGTTACAGGACCTGCATTGATATGTAAATGAGCTGTGAACAGACGTGTGAATTATGACATTTGCGCATATAATTAATTACCGCGGCGTGCACGTATTTACGGCTAAAGGCTAATAGCGATTGTTTCTTTACTAGTTATGGGTCGGTCGCGAACGAAATGACTCTTAGAGCCGACTCTTTGAAGGGAACGACGGGAGCCTGATCCTTACTGGGAGCCGTGTTTTCTCTTTCTCTCACTTTTTTTCTCTTCGCCACGTGCAGACTCGTGGTTTGACAGCGGCAGCGGCTGAAAACGAAACTTTGAGAAATTTGCGTGTGCATAAGATAAAAAAGGAGCATTTTTGGCTGTAGTTTAGCATAAAATAAATAAGTCCCGGTTTAGTCCTTTTTCAGTCCTGGTTCAGACCTGGTTCAGTCCTGATTCAGTCCTGCTTTAGACGTGCTTTAGTCCTGCTTGCAACAAAACAATCTGAAGAGCCGCTTGGGAGCCAAAAGAACCAGCAGCTTTTAGTGAGCCGAGCCAAAAGAGCCGGTTCTCTAAAAAGAACTGGAATACCCATCACGAGTGTCTAGAATGTGATGCAAAAATGCCATTAAACCAACCTACTGTCTGTAAATATGATGTAAAGAGGCAGAATAACAATAAATGTTGCCTAAATAAACTCAATTTAAATCCACCAGAGCCAAACCTAAGTTTTTTAAACAATTCAACATTTACAGTGAATTTTTACATCACTAAATATATCGGCGATTATATCGGCTATCGGCAGCTCCAACTCCCATTATATCGGTTTCATATCGGCCACAGCAAAATCCATATCGGTCGGGCTCTAATTTTAACCAAAAAATGTATTTTGCATTGCACCGTGAATCCGTAGAAACAAAATGAAAAATTACATATTTACAAAAAATAACTGCTTAAATAAAGGTAAAAGCAACAGAAATGAACAAAACAAAGGAAAACCCCACGTGCACACGGCTGCACTGATGGTGAACCCCGAACAGCTGAACTGCTCCACTTTATATTTCCCAGACAGGAAGTCCCTCCCCCTGGGTCAGCTCCAACACACACAGGTTAGTTTGTCCTTCAACTGTCCCTGTTTCTCGGTGTGTTTTATATTCTCCTATGAGAGTCTAAATCCCCTTTAACTAATAGTGCTCCAAAATAACCTAGAAACACTGAAATAACAAAATCATATAAAATCCATAAAAGAAAAGAACTGAAACTGAGTCTCCCCTCCACATGGTCTGACCCAAAACCTTCCCCAAAGACTACAAATATGGCTGACTGAGGTCACGCCCCCTCTTTGTCTCCAGGCCATGTGGCGTCACAGGGAAGTTGGTAAGTTGTCTGTATCACAAAATGAAGATATAACCAAATGGATTTAAAGTAACTGGTGTGAAGTGAATGAACTTAATTAAACAAAGACAACCAGAGACTGAACCAGAGACTGAACCAGAGACTGAACCAGAGACTGAACCAGAGACTGAACCAGAGACTGAACCAGAGACTGAACCAGAGACTGAACCAGAGACTGAACCAGAGACTGAACCAGGTCTAAACCAGGATTAAACCGGCTCTAAACCAGGTCTAAACCAGGACTAAACAAAGTCGACACCAGGACTGAACCAGGACTGAACCAGGACTGAACCAGGACTGAACCAGGACTGAACCAGGACTGAACCAGGACTGAACCAGGACTAAACCAGGACTAAACCAGGACTAAACCAGGACTAAACCAGGACTAAACCAGGACTAAACCAGGACTAAACCAGGACTAAACGAAGTCGACACCAGGACTGAACCAGTACTGAACCAGGATTAAACAAGGTCTAAACCAGGACTAATCTTGGACTTGAGAGAGAGAGAGACGAGAGACCCCAGGTGTCTGCAAAGTGTGATTGGTGTCGGTTGCGTTTAGTCCCGTGGGGCGAGGAGCTCAGCACCAGTCCGTTCACCTGCGGTCACCCGACAGTCCCTACATTCAGTCCTGGTTTAGTCTTGTTTAGTCCTGGTTCAGTCCTGGTTTAGTCCTGGTTTAGTCCTGGTTTAGTCCTGGTTTAGTCCTGGTTTAGTCCTGGTTTAGACCTGGTTTAGTCCTGGCTCCGTCCTGGCTCAGTCCTGGCTTAGACCTGGTTTAGACCTGGTTTAGTCCTGGTTTAGACCTGGTTTAGACCTGGTTTAGTCCTGGTTTAGTCCTGGTTTAGTCCTGGTTTAGTCCTGGCTCAGTCCTGGTTTAGTCCTGGTTTAGTCCTGGTTTAGACCTGGTTTAGTCCTGGTTCAGTCCTGGTTTAGTCCTGGTTCAGTCCTGGTTTAGTCCTGGCTCAGTCCTGGCTCAGTCCTGGCTCAGTCCTGGTTTAGTCCTGGTTTAGTCCTGGTTCAGTCCTGGTTCAGTCCTGGTTTTGTCCTGGTTTTGTCCTGGTTTTGTCCTGGTTTTGTCCTGGTTTAGTCCTGGTTTAGTCCTGGCTCAGTTCTGGTTTAGTCCTGCTTTAGTCCTGCTTTAGTCCTGCTTTAGTCCTGCTTTAGTCCTGGTTTAGTCCTGGTTTAGACCTGCTTTAGTCTTGGTTCAGTCCTGGTTCAGTCCTGCATCACAGTTTAAGTCACAGAAACTGGAAATGGCTGTTATCCGTTTTTTTTTTTTTTCCATTATTCATTTAAACATAAAATCGAAAACTAAAAAACAAATCGTTATCCGCTTTATTAATTTTGGTTTTGGAGCCAAATAATGAAGTCAATAGTTTTTTTGTTTTGTTTTTTGTTTTGTTTGTTTTCTTATTTTTGGTTTTATTTTGAAAAACAAATTAATGAATGATACACGGATTCAGGTGCCCCTACTTTGGACCAATCTGATCTAAACCAGGACTAAACTAAGATTAAACCAGGACTACATTTACATTTACTACAGTTTTAACTAATCCGATCCCTGCCAACAGTAAAGAGAAGCGTAAATTTGTGTTGCCAAAATACAGAAATCCGTGTGAATGACCATAAAGCAAAAAAAGCCCCTCAGATTAAGACTGACACAAGAATTTATTTATACCAAACATCCCAACCCGGGTGTGTCCCAGTTTAGAACTTTGAAAATCTGGTCACCCTGTTCTCTCCTCAAAAACAGACCTGGACTTGTGTTTTATTTCATTCACAAATGTTTGAGTAACACTTTATTATGAGTCTGTCTATGTCTCCAAACAGCTATTTTCAAATCCAGAGCTGAAATGATGAAATGAAAGGTGTGAGGAGTTTAAAAACACAGTGGAGCACTTCCTGTATTCCCACAGAGATAAACTCAGTCTAAATGTGCAGTTTGTGTGTTAAACATATGTGAATGAAACAAAACACAACTAGAAAATAGTGTCACCTTGGACCTTTAAAATTTGACAAAAATTATTATTTTTTCATTTAAATATTATAATTTTACTTCCTACTTTTACTTCCTTTTCCAGTAACTGTCACTTGACTGATGTAAAACTATGATAAAGAGATGCCAAGTCAGAACTGGAAACACATCACAATCACACTTCAGTAAACCTGAGGAGTATTTAGGTAGTAGTAGTCATAGTAGTCACAGTAGTAACAGTAGTAGTAGTAGTAGTCGTAGTAGTAGTCATAGTCATTGTAGTCATAGTTATAGTTGTACTCATAGTAGTAGTCATAGTAGTTGTAGTACCCGTAGTCATAGAAGTCATAATCGTAGTAGTCACAGTTGAAGTAGCCGTAGTCGTCCTAGTCGTAGTAGCTGTGGTTGTAGTAGCTATAGTCGTAGTAGTCGTAGTAGCTGTAGTCGTAGTAGTCGTAGTAGTCGTAGTAGTCGTAGTAGTCGTAGTCGTAGTAGTATCGTAGTCGTAGTAGCTGTAGTCGTAGTCATCTTAGTAGTTGTAGTAGCTGTATTCGTAGTAGTCGTCGTCGTAGTAGTAGTCGTAATCATAGTCATAGTAGTCATAGTAGTCGAAGTTGTAGTCGTCGCAGTAGTACTAATAGTTGTAATCGGAGTGGTAGTAGTAGTAGTCGTAGTAGTCATAGTAGTCATAGTACTCATCATAGTCGTCGTCATAGTAGTCATAGTACTCGTCATAGTAGTCATAGTACTCGTCGTAGTAGTCGTAGTAGTAGTTGTAGTCGTTGTAGTAGTAATAGTTGTAATCATAGTAGTAGTAGTAGTAGTAGTCATTGTTGTATTCAATGCTTTCTGTCCATACTATAATTTCAACCTTTTACAAATTTTTCAAGTAAATCATATTTTTGTTTTTGTTTTTTTAATAATAACATAGATAGATTTTTTTTATTTATTTAAATATTATACTTTTACTTCCTACTTCTATTTCCTTTTTCTGTCACTGTCACTTAACTGATGTAAAACTATGATAAACAGAATGTTTTTATTACACAAACTTGAGTCTTGTGAGATTTAAGCCTTTTAGAATGTTGTCAGGTGAACAGCTCCTTTTCCCTTTTGTTCAGTCGAGATCGATAAGTCCAGGACTGAACAAATGATTCTCGTGAAGATGTGTGGAGTGTTTTCTGTTTAAGAGAAGAACTCAGCCTAAATCTTCAGAGTTTGTGTTTATACCATTTTGGACATTTACAGACAGGGAAAAGACTTTTATACATTCACAGGTGAGGTGTTTCAGTTTGTAGCCGTGGTAACAGCACACTATACAAATTGCACATGTGTAATTAAGTTTGTTAAAAGTGCAGAAGGCACAGCTCCTCGTTGTTTAATGCTGAACTACATGAATAACACAGGTGAGGAAAAGAATGGAATATGGGCCATTTAAATCAATTTCAAGCAAATTTGGCCTGTGATATAATTATATTTGACCCACGAGATCATTAGTGGAGCTGTTAAGGACCAAAATAGTTTGCTTTTATGGTACAAGCATGAAATTTTGCCACATTACTAACACCCCCAGGACTAATATTTCTAGATATGGAACCAAGTCTAAGTCGACCCTGGAGCCGAGAACTGTGCATGTCACAAAATGGACTGTATGAAAATGAGGCTGGCATAAAAAACACTGCAGAATCCCTTTCTTACAGTCTAATTTGCTTAGTTATTCCTTTTGTAATGTTGAACAACATTTTTTCATAAGCTCCAAAGCATTAATGACCATGTGACCATTTTCCTTGAGGCTGTAAGGGTTGTGTGGGCTCCCTGTGGTTGAAATCCAAGTTAATACAATATTTTATCTTTCAAAGCCATATTTATTGGGTTTTTGATAACAAAAACAATTTAAACATCTCTAATGACCTGTAAGTGCCTCATCATGTTTCACAATAGTAATTATTTAATTAAATGCTGCATGGATGTGAGGCATAACCCTAAAAAACATATCAGAGATTTTCCTTAAATTGTTAAACTTATTCAAAGTGCTCTAAGTGCAGCTGCTACCACATTGGCATGAATCTGTACATGCCAAATTTGTCTTTGCACACTTGCATCACCCAGCACAGGCTACTCTGCATCCACACTTGATAAGTTCATAACACGTTCTTTGCCTGGTGGAGCGTGGTCCACAACTGTAACTAGTGACTGTCATCACGCTTGCATCCCCAATCTGCAGGGCTGGGTGGTGTCTTAAAATACTAAAAATTTTAATGGTGCATTATAACTTTTCTGTTTGGGGGTCCACAACCTGCTTCTTTTATGATGTCACAGCTTTGGCTGGAATCTTTCACTGTACAGCATTAAACATATCAATCAATCAATCAATCAATCAATCAAACTTAATTTATAAAGCGCTTTTCATACAAAACTGTAACACAAAGTGCTTTACAGTGATTAAAAACAATCCCACATTTCCATCCACCCACCAACCCAATACCCACACCTGCCTGACCCCACACAACCAGACAACCTAAACACACACCCACACACACACACACACACACACACACACGCACGCACGCACGCACACACACACACACACGGTAAAATACATAAAACGACACATAGTAAGATATGAAGCAGAATACAGGTGAACCAGTTGAGAAAGCACCATCAGAGGAGCCATCTACATCAGGAGCAGAGAGACGTCCACCACCACCAGGAACCAGCACAGGGTCCAGGGGAGAGATGAAGCCCAAACACCAACCCTCCACCAGGAGCCCACAGGACAGACCCAGCAGCCACAGCTGACCTCCGCTCCTGATGCAGAGGAAACACTGGAAATCCTAAAAATATGCCTAAAATAAATGAATATAATAAAATATATACACTAGAAACAAGTAAAAGTATATATAAGGAAATCCTAAAAGTATCAGTCTTGTGTTTATTCAGTTAAGGATTGAAAATGTGTTTATTGCTCAAATACCTAAAATGCAGACATTCTTACATTTAGCGG